TACAGATAGCTCAGACCCCACAACATTAAGTGGAGTAATAGTAACTGAATTATGGAAATTGTAATAAATTTCAAAAATACCCGTTTTGATACTATACACTATCATACAATACTTTCAAAGAAAAACCGGACATATAGCGCATATTATACCTATCGATAAACCGGTGAGAGTTATTGAATAGAATATGAAACTAAGAACAGTGTTCAGTTTCACGCAGTTCAATATAGACGAATTTTCCGCTCTATTTCGATTTTTGTAAATATATAGTTATTGTAAGGCGTTTTCCAAATTGTTTCATTGTTTAAAGAATAATAATAATTATATTTTGACCTTTACATGTTCATTAGTTGAATGTAAAAATTCAATCATTTTATATAAGTGTTGCGTATAGACAACAAAATGATTTCATAACTTCGTTATATGTTATGCTGAATGACAATGGTTTATAATAATCATAATATCTCAGATCAATGATTCAAGCGCCCAGAGCCATGAATTTCCCACTGGAACTTGCTTGAAGGACACCGTTTTCAGTCGAAAGGCTCCAGAAAATGGTAGCAGCTTGGAAATAAGAATTCAGTAATTGTATCTGGTTGCTGACAGGAACTGAATTAATCCGATCGCCGAATCTAATCACCGGATTCCTATTTCCAAGTTCCTACCATTTTTTGGAGTTTTCCGGTCGAAATCGGTCGTATCTCATGCATCTGGCATTATTCGTTCTTAATTGAAGGTGAATGAATATCTTATGACATCTTTATTCTATTGTATGTTTGACTATTCCAAATATTTTTATCAGGTTTAACAATTATAGCTTATAGTTTATAAAGAATATCATAATAAAAAAAGGATAAAAATATTTTATGATCAAGAAAAAAATGATTGTTTATGATCTTCTCATAAATGGCAATAGACATAACAGAAATTTTCGAAAGCATGATCTGTAATAGTATAAAAATTAAAGTAATTTTCAGTAAAATAAATTATTCTTTCTTACAGTTCTTCGTTATTGCTTACAGTTAATGATGTCTTCATATTATTAATCTTTGATATTAAGAAAAATCAATTTATTAAATTTTAGAATCTTAAATGAATATTTTTTCCCTACCGGTTTCGGTTTTGTCGCGGTAATTGTGGTTTCTGAACGAAAACCAGTGTCGTTAAAAAAAAGGAAAAGAGAAAGATATGAAATTAAGTGTAAAGAAAGAAAGTGACTTTTTTTCGATATATGAATGCGTTCTTCAAAAAGATATTGATGACTTACGATATAAAAATGTGTTGGAGACACCTATTATACAACAAAAAAGTTTAAAAAATAAATTTGTGTATGAGAAAATACTTGGAGTTGAAGTCGATCTATCTCTTGAATAAATGGATGATGTATCAGGAATATTCATTGGATTTAAAAGACATGTTTTCTTTTAAAACAACAAATAGAGAATTACAAAAAATACAATTATTTTGAAATTATACTTGATGATTGTCTAATTCGTTCATTGAATACTTTCGATTACAAAACGTACATTCAACTTCTATATTTGTTTTTGATTGTTCAATTTCTCTACACATTCAATGGAAGATTAAAAAAAATCTGATGATTTCAAATAAGAAGAAAAAAAAAGAGACCTTCTTTTATTCTCAATACGATGTCTATCATTTGCATCACATTGTTTCTAAAATTAGATTAATAATAAATTCAACGATAATATTTTCGAATGATTCTCTTGAACCGTAAGTGATATATAGTTACTTGATGTCTTTTCAATTCAGATTGATCAATCAATTGATTACATATTTCACAAGGTAATTGAGTTGCAGTTAGTTTTCTTTAAAAAATATTAAATATAAGAAGATGAAATATCATTAGGAACCATTCACAAACTATGTCCAGGTAAAGGAGATGACGTTAAACATTTCTAAACTTCCAGGCACTTATTATGAACATTTTCAGTTTTTGTCGCACAACTTTCGGCAAAATTTTGAAGCTTTATTTGTTTTGAAAGGTTATCTAAAGTTTGATTGAAAGTAAAAACGTGAAAAACTGAAGTGGAGACTTTTGAATATTTTCTAGTTCAGAAAATTAAAATAACCAAATCACTATATTCGAATGAAACGTTTATTGTTGAAAGAGACAGAAGAATGAAAGACAAACAAACACCTTTGAAATATTAGTTTATTGATTTTAAATAATGTTCTTATTGTACAACAATAACTTTGTTTTGTTACAATAAACAATCAATCGTGTAGAAGATCAGATGTTATAATGGAATAATTACTATTTCGATTATACAACATGTTGATTCACCTTTGTGATGGTATTGTTCGTTTGTTTTCCTGCCCTAGTGCTCCAGAAGTCCATTCAAGTGTAATATTCTGCACACTGTTTCCGTATGCTTGTATAAAATTGATTGAATCCCATATATTTGGAGGATTTTCAAAAATAAGAGAATTTATTGTATTATGATAGTCTGGAATTAGGGTGTGGATGTGTCTTCTCTTCAACCACATATCTACACCCATAGGTTCATATTGATTATGTAATAATGAGATCTTTATTCGACACCTTCCGAAAAAAGTCCTTCTTGCAGAATTTTACTTTTTATTTTTATAAAGAATTTTTTTCGACATTTTCTACTTTCGAACGAAGTTGAGATTACCGTTTTGAAGAGCATTTTTAAATAGGAAATGAACTAAACAGACCTAATGAGTCTTTTGATTTGATTAGGAGACTCCTGATTGCTTCAAATTTTTCCTGATTTTCAGTTTTCGCACGTTTAATTTTAGTGACAATATGAATCAACAAAAGAAACATAGAAGAAAAAAAAGAACTTTTATAGTTAGAGACAATAATCTTTTAGCTTACCTCCTTCATAATGCAAATGCGTTTAATTCATACAAATGACCTCCGATATGTTTCTGTGCCTACTTCGAATGTTTATTGTAAGCCAAGTATCAATGATACAAAGTCTTTACAAAAACGACAAAAGAAGTTGAACCAGAAATGACCTTATCGGTGTCGAAACGAAAATTTGAATAATTAGTTATGCGAGTTTTACAAAATTTCACAATCACTTCCTAAATGATCAAAAATTGTCAGAGCGAATTTTTCTCGTCAGAAAAATATAGTCAAGCTGCTAACACATCCCGAGAATGAAGTTCTAGAAAATTTACTTTCCATTTCTAATTTGTCTTTTTTTTTGGCTTTTGTCATATTCTTATAAAATATTTATGTTTATTCTCTTTTTATCAGTAAACAAACAGATATGAGAAAATTGGTACAATAAAAACATCGGAAAAGCAAAAATTTCGAATGCAGCAATTGCTAAAAGAAAACTCCCGAAAGAACTAATTTTGAGCGGTCTTCAATAACTATTCTAGTGTAATAGATAGACCAATAGAAAATATGACATCATACAAGTTCACTTGATTCTGTTATCATTGAAATATGTTCTGAATGCGAAGTAAGAAACACATAAAACAAAAATCATGAAACCTCTCAGTTCCGTAGTTCTCATTGTTTTTCTGATCGGTCTTTTTTTCACTGTTCTGATGGTCGATATCATAGATCCGATATTGTATTACGATTAAAATAGATCGGCATGAACTTATTCTAAGTTTTCACATCTATATCTGATCTCATCACTCTTTTCGGTGTGTCATGTACGAGATAGTTATTCTCGTTTCTCATTTGATAAAGACAAGTCACAAGATCTTGTTACAGTAACCATATTGTTTCTCTAAGAGACAACTGTCGAATTTTTTTCAGTCAGTCTTCAAAAAAATCTTTGTATTTTCCACCCAAGTTTACGGGAAAATCTCTTCATGGAATCCTGATTCTCGACGAAAAACTCCTGATTTCTAAAAAAATTCTTATTTGGCAACCGTGAAACTGACTCAGCGGGTTCTATATGAATATAATGTTGAAATAGTTGAAGATCATGATACATGAGTACTTTGTCGAGTAATTATATGAACGTTGTTAGACTTGTATGGAACTTCATTTTTTGTTTTTACTATTTTCTGCCCATTAAAAATGAATATTTTTAAAAAACAAAAACTTTCGTAACATTGTTAGATTTTTGTTTGTTGTTTATGAAGTGTGTATTGTGTTTTTTTATTCATATTTTTATTTAATGAACTATTATTCAGTTAGAGATGAACAACTCCAACACGGAGTTGGATTGAAAGTTTGCATTTGGTAGACAGAGTTGCAGCAGAGTTAATATATATCTGGAGTAGAGTTGCAGTGATGCATACTGGAGTGGCGTGTCTCTCGATTTTATGTGGAAACTTTAAAAAGGAATGAATTAACCTTCTACTTATCGATATCAGTCGTAGATTTAATTGTGTTCAAAAACTTTTCTCTTGAAGAGTATGTTGGAAGAAATTCAGCTTTGTAAGGTTGGAGTAGAGCAGAAGGATTAATTAGAAGTCAGAGTAGAATTTCAAAAATAAAGGACTGTAGTTATGTAGAACTGTACATATCTATATTTAACAAAACGGATATAGTATATTTAAATAAACAGGGTCTTTATAGAAAGTACTTTTTTATACTAAATGTTATGAAGAACGATGAAAGTCGATGAAACTGGACAGAGGCAAGCAAGATCGGGATCGAAAAATTCGACGTTTGTCTGAACGTCCATTATAGATGGCTCGTCGTATAGTTATCATACAGTGAACTTGCTTGAACGCTTGATCTTTCTGTGTTTCTGAATGGCACGTTCTTGTGTGATAGTACATGTTTTATATCTGAAAATGGTTCTTTAAATAGAAATCTTTATCTTTTTTCTGCCCTTGAAGTAAAAACAAGATGTGTATACCGTTCCGATTATTAGTTTGGTGCAAACTTGAATGACGAGTATTTCCTGTTTGACTACGGTATTCGTCTAAAATAAAAATCGACAATAAGTCGGTAATATCAATCTTAGTACAAGGTTTTTATATTTTGAAATTCTAAACAACTATACCATTATGTGATATAATTATAGGATTAGTTGAGAGACCACAAGTTTTTATATGATTATCGTAAATTTCATGTTGATATTGTTCACCACATTGAAAACATGTCAGTTTTTGCCCATTGCATTTATTCAAATGAGAATCCTCATCTGTATACCTTAAACCACAATCATGACAAGTTTCATATTCGATTTTAAATAAACATGGATTATCTTCTATTGTTCGAGATGAGGATAACATTGAATTTCTAAAGAAAAAATAATTCAAATAAAATTTAAAAAAAAAAGAATAAATAATTATTTTCTATTTTCGATCTTACGAAAGTGATGATGATGATGATGATTGTATATTTTGAATATTCTTAAGTTGTTTATGAATTATTTCAAAATTTGGTCTATCATATGATCTATCATTCCAACATATATTCATTAGTTTCCAAATATTTGGATCACATTTTTTAGGTCGCAATAATTTATTACCTTGAAGTTTTTCTTGACAAACATCTTCATCATCATTAATATCAACATAAGGTATTTCTCCAAATGAACAAGCTTCCCACATAAGAACACCAAATGAATAAACTTCTGATTTTTGTGAATAATTTAAACGACCTTGACTACGTAAAATTTCTGGAGCAACATAACGTATTGGAATATCAATTTTAACATTTAATGGTATTGAATCATCTCGTGTTAAACCAAAATCAATTAATTTAACTAAATTTTTCTTTGGTTCATATGGATGTGATTGAAAAACTAGTGCATTTCTACATGCTAAATCACCATGTATAATACCATTTTCAGAAAGATAAATCATTGCATTTGATATTTGAATAAATATTTCGAGAAAAACATATTGTGATGGAATAAAATATTTTGCATTTAGTAATCTACCAAGATCACCATCTTCAGCATATTCTTGTAGAAGTAAAAGGGAATCCGAACTTATTCCATGACCATTTGATTCCACAAGACCATAGGTTTTTATAATATGTGGATGATCAAGTGTTATATAAAGTAAAGCTTCATTGGTTGCTTTATTTCCTCTCATTTCAAGTAATACAATTGGTGAGTATTTTTCATTTATCCACTCTGCTTTATAAAATGTTTTACCAAATCCACCAGTAATCTTTTCTCCTTTTCGAATCTGAATATCTAATGTATATGCAGATTGTCGTTTTAATGATACTAATGACGTTCTATTATTCATTTTTGAATTATTGTAGTATCTTTTTTTTTATGTTTGTTGAAAAACAAATGTTATTATATTAAACTCATTTTGTTAAATCTACAAATACATGCTGGAAATTAGTTTGACTAATTTTTAAAAAATTGAAATAATTAATAAATTTTCCTAAAACAACAAAACCTCCAAAGACTGTTGTTGTGCGATGGTAGCAACATCAATGTTATCGTTATCTACGTAAATAATAAAAGAGTTTTAGATGTTTGTTTTTCGTTTGCACATCATCATATACGAACTTGCAACTTTTTTTGTGATGAGAGAACTCAAAGAAGAGATGAGTCAAAATTAGTTTTGTTTTTTGTTTGTCATTCTTTTCTTTGCAAAGTTTTTATCGAATTGTTCTTGAGAAACAATCGCTTACGGCCATACCACGTTGAATACACCAGTTCTCGTCCGATCACTGAAGTTAAGCAACGTCGGGCTCGGTTAGTACTTGGATGGGTGACCGCCTGGGAATACCGAGTGTCGTAAGCTCTTTTTTTTATATTGATTCTTAGACACTGCTGTTTTTCTGCAGATTATTTTAAAGAATTTCATTTCGTATGTTTTATTTCTTTTTTTTCCTGCCATTCGTATTATTAGTTTTTATTTTTTTTCAATTCTAAAACTAAACTAGATTGCTATTGGACTTTTCCTCGAATAGAGGATATAGCCGACTGTACAAGCCTGAGAGTACAATAGAGGACTTCGAGACTTCACGAGACTTTACCACTGAAGCCTCTCCTGTGTCCTTGTCCAATAAACCAGAAATATGTTAGTCGAGGAGGAAAGAAGAGCGATTGCAACCTTGAAGTCCTCGAAGTTTTGCGAAATCTGTTTGAAATCTCACGAAGTCTTTGGAAGTCATTAAGCTATAGCTTGTATGAAACATAATCTAAAAGGCATATTGAAGTATTGAGTAGAGATTGAGATTCTCTCCCCCCAGAGATATAACGGATATTCTTAAGAATGGTTCATCGCAGACATGACAAACAACTTAGCGACAACACGTCAAAAATGCGACAAGCGTCCTTAGCAATGTCTCTCCTTTGTCACAGATCGTGACCGATACCTTAGCATCGCTACCTATGTTCCATTCCCCACATCACAGATGTTGTTGATTTACGATAACAGACCGTATGCAAATAACGTTTCGTTATAATATATGAACTAGTTCCTCATTACATTTCTGAAGGATTACTTAAAAGGATAGCGAAGAAATGTGTCTCAAAACAGGTAGCATAAAACAATCTCCCTACAATGAGCAACAGCAACTGCATCGTGTTTCATATTTTAATCCCACAAAAATTGTGCTAAGAGCTTTTCACATATGTTGAATTTTTCTGTTGCCTCTCAATGTTAGTATTTTTTTTCTTGGTTAAACATACTGATGTGTAGGTGCCGCTTAGAAGGAAATATCCATCTCGATATCCATACCCACATCCTATAATTTTATACATTGTTCTTAATTTGATCAATTAGCTGATATTTATTTGACGTTAAGTTCAATTGAAGTACCTTGGACAAAAGAATTTGTCAAAATTGTATCTTCATCACAAATATCCGACGAAATTACAACTTCATTGACCGCTGTAACTTCCATAAGCATATATGTTTTTTTATAATATCATAGTATACTCTTTGAAATTTTGTTCTATATATTTTCAGATAAATGTCTATGCTTATAAACATTAGAATAGAAATATTTATGTTAAAAGTCAAATTTAATTCATCTATCGTTCTGAAAGGAATATGCAAGTCAGATTTGACCTACAAAAACACAGAAATAAACTGTATTAGGAATGCTTGTCAACGCTTTTTCAAGATTAGTATAATATGAAATGAACAACAATATGAAAGACCTTCAAAAATTAAAGAGAAGAAAATGTAAGAAGCTTATGACGTTAGTGAAAAAATGTCACTATCAAATTATTACTCGATATCTTTCGATGAACCCATACATGATGCAATTTACTCAACAATTTCATGAAGAAGATTCATAAGATCGAGTAGAAGTTCTCAAATTTTGATACTAATATTAGAAAATATGAACAATTAAAACAAATCGTTCTTTTTTATGACGAATTTTATATTTCATTCGAATAGTTTATCCGTAAAATATAATGTGAAAACTTATGTGTATAAAATATATGTGAACATTTGTTTGAATTCAAAATAAGAACCGATAACAAGAATAAATTAATGTGAGGATAAACTTTCTGCAGTATTTCTTTTAAAAAGTTTTGACAAGGATGCATTTATGTACTTCAATTGATGATAATCATTTGAAACATTTTTCTAATGATCGTATTCCGTATATTAATATGCTTCGAGTGACGTCGAATTTTGAAAAACGTGCTTTAAATACGCACTTGTCATATTTTCACGATCTCAACAAGTTTTTTTCCAACTCAAAATAATCCTTAGATGCGGAGAATGAATAATTAATGCGTTGAGCGGAGGAAGAAGAAAAAGAAATCACCATAGCAACTAACAAGTTGGCAGCTGTCATCTTAATGATGTTCTGCATTTTGAAAACATCAAAAGAAACCTTATAGCTAAACATCTTATTTCAATAATAACATCTTTTATATTTTCAAGCAATATATTATTGTTTCATTTGTTCATAAGAAACATCAATTGAAGTTCTCAGATATTATCGTTTAGTGATATCAAATTTTTGTATCACATTGTTTAGAAATTTTAACGTTTAGTCTTGTTTTTTTTTCTTTGTTCAGTTTAAACAGATTATACTGATGTATAATTCAACATTGTTATGAAGTTTTAAAAACTTAATTATTACATGGCATTAACCATGAATATGATGATTTGATCAAAAATGTATATAAATTAATAGGCAGAAGTAAACTAGAATACGGGACGTCTTTTGAAGAAACAAAAAATGTATTTCAAATTTTGAATTTCATTTCACATGATTGAATAGAAGGCTAAGTCGATTTTATGTCAAATTTAATTGTAATCAGTTTAATTAGAATTTTTAAATAACTTATAGACACTTAGCATTACACGTATTAAATACAAGATTTTGTGCGTAATTACATAGTAGAAATTGAAAGTATTTTTTGATCTACTTCTTTCTTTAAATATACATAAATAATTTTGTTCTTGGTAAAGAACCATCTTTTCAAGAAGAACTATCGCATCTTTAATCCTATATAATGACCTACTTGTCTATTGCACTCTAAGTCTTTTTCTAGAAAAATACAACATACGCTTCAATGAATTCATGATATATCAACTCTTTATTATTCTTTTCTATTTTAGATACTTTGATCCATCAAATGTATGAAAACAATCTTTAGTTGTCTAATCTTCGCTTACGGCCATACCACGTTGAATACACCAGTTCTCGTCCGATCACTGAAGTTAAGCAACGTCGGGCTCGGTTAGTACTTGGATGGGTGACCGCCTGGGAATACCGAGTGTCGTAAGCTTTTTCTTAATTTTTCAATGATCTTTTTTCTTTGCAATCAAAATCATTTTGTTTTTTGTTCATAAATTTTACAAATATATTATTTATATATATATATTTTTTTTTTTTTTGTTTTATTTCATCCTTTTAATTTGTTTTCTTCTTTTTCCTTGCCAAAAACAAATGCAATAAACACAAATAAACAAACACACACACAAATATATATATGCATATACTGTTCAAAAACAAACAAAAGAAAAAAAGAAAAGCGAATATTCTTTCTGATGATGACGATGATGCAAATCATAATGAAGTTACTAACGGTAACAATAGAATACACACCACAACAAATTTCAACATCAGAAAAGAAAAAAGAAAGTCTGCTTGATTTGCTAACACGAACTGGTACATATTTAAACAAATAACAAAAAATTTTCAAGCCCATATTAATAAGTACAATGCTGATAAACAAGAGTCAAAACAAAACAGAAAAAAAAAAATGAAGATACAGAGGATGGTAATATTACTGTTCAGCATAAAGAGAAAATAACAACAACTACAACAACAACAGAAAATACCTGAGGGTTAATGTTTTTTTTTTTTCTTTCTTTCGATACAGATTTAATCATAACAAAAATATAATGGCACACCTCATCGACTTTTAATGATCATCATCAACAGTCAGTTTAGCATCATCAATATCAATATCTTCATCTTCGTCTTCGCGTTCTGTTGTTGTTGATGGTGGTGTTAAATTATGATTTGTTTCTACAACTAGTTCTTCATCATCATCATTATTATTATTATTATTTTGTTCTTGTTTTAATTGATGATCTTCAATTTCACCCTCTTCTGGTTCATCTTCTTCGTCTCTTTCAGCTTGTGCTTTTTGATTTAATGAATCAACAATATCATCTAAACAAGCTTTTTTATGTGGACTGGATTTTTTTATTATTAATGTATCATTTTCTGATGTTGAAATTTGTTGTTCAGCTGCTAATAAACGACGTTTACGATCAAAATATTTTGGTTGTTCAATTGTTGTATCATGAGCAACTATAGATGATGTACTATGTAATGATACATTTGAATCAAGATCATCAGAATCACCAACAATACTATCTTGTTGATGATTATTATCATTTGATGAAAATTTACTTCCATTACTTATTGTACTTGAATTTGATGATATTTGTGCAGCTTCTAATTTTGATAAACGTTCACGAAGTAATTCATTTTCACGCTTTTAAAAAAGAAAAATAATAATTATTATGATTATTTATTATTTTCAATTTAACTAAATAATACTTACACGTAATAAAATTGTTTCATTTTGTTGCTGTGCAGCCGCAGCAATAACTGAATTGGTTTTTGTTGATTGTGTATAAGCATGTAACTGTAATTGAGATATATATGTTATTAGTTGTTGACGAGCTCGTGGAGATGATACTGTTGTTTCTACGATTTGTCGAATACCATCTGGTGAAAAATCTATTTAAGAAAATCATAATGCGTTATTAAAATACCGATCAAAGGTCATCATGCTCGCGTTATTATCAACTAATGTGCTTTTCTCAAAAGAATATGAAGACTGATTAACATGTCGTGACGGAAGTAGACAAAAAAAAAACGGAGCACAGTTCTTGCGCAGATTAAAATGTTGTCTCACCATTAAAATTGGTAATGGACGGATTTGTTGGCTCATTTAATGTCGGAGAATTCGAACGAACAATACGCAATGGTGATGGCCGAGTGCAACTATAACAAAAATATGTATTATGATAAAAATAGCAGAAAAATTAGAAAAAAAAGTAAACCTGTTCGATGTTGTTGTTGCTGCTGCTGCTTCAAGTGGTACTGCTAAAGGTAATGGTGGAGGTATTAATGTTGGCCGTGGTAAACATGCACCAAATGAATAATCACCGTAATGATTATCTTTTTTCATTGATGCAAAATTTGATTGATTATATGGATATGACCATGTGTCAGTTGAAGATGATGGAACTAATTTTGTACGTTTTTCTGCTGATAATAAACAATCCTTTAAAAAAAAAACAGAAATAATTAAGTGAACAAAAAAATTTGTTGTTTTTTTTCTTTCTTACTGATTGTTGTGGTAAACGTTTCTTTTGATTAATATTATTATTTGTATTTAAAAATTTTTCTTTAAATAATTCTAATTCTTCATGTGCTTTATTATTTTCAGTTGAACGGATTTTTAAATAAGCACGCCAATTATCAGAATTAAATCCCCAATGACAAATACGATTTTCTTCAGATTTATGTCCATGTGAAACAAACGTTTTGGGAGAAAATAATGCTTGACATGTATCACATTGTATACATTCAGCTTGTGGTGCAACATATAATGTTGGATATAATGTTCCTGAACATTTACCAAAACATTTATGTTGAACTTTTATTGAATATAAACGTTCATATTGATTTGTTGTTATTGAATTCACTGTACGTAATTGTCCTTTATAACGTAATTGTAATAAACTAGCACAAAGACGTTCAGCATCTGTTTGGGTTATTAAACCACATGATGGAGCATTCATTGGTAAAACTTGAGTCTTTTTAAGTATATCAAGTTGTTCATTAGTGCAACGCGAACAATAAATATGTAATCTTTCGCATGCAGCATTTATTTCTTGTAAGGAAAAATCTTTTAAAACAGTATTTAAAATTTCTGGTAAACATAAACGCTTTTCACCACCAACTATAAAACATGTTATACGTTCACCTAAATTAAAAAAGAAAAACATCAATTAATCATATTTTTTCTTTAATTATTGTGTAGGTGTATATTCACTTCGAGTATACATAGCTTGTTTATCTCATGCTTTCGACAGCAAAAATTAATCCTACACAAGATATCTCATTGATATTTTACATGGTCGATTAGGTTTTGTTGTGTCGCTCTGTTTTCTTTTTTTTTTGTTTAGTCCTACGTGAACGACTCTATATGTTGCTTTTTTCTGTTCCATTATATCATTGTTTGCAGGTAACAAAGTACAATGCATTTATTTGAAGGGGCTAGACATATTATATATGCAAGAAAAGAATAAAATTATGTTGCTATAGTTTTCCTTTCTTATTTGTTGAGTTGCAAAATATTAATGATGACAACAGAAGAAAAGAAAATATGAAAACAGCATATAATTTGTAGATGCTCTTCAAATAAAATTAAAATTTTCAGTCTCCAAATTTGTTGGCATTTTTTTTTTATGCAACATTTTCTAACAAGAAACACAAAGGTTTTTTTAACTCTTGTATTCTTTTTTTGAGTGCATTTTATATTTACTTTTAGTTTTCTTAGTTAAATACAAAAAAAGAATGACGCCATAAAAATCTTCTAGGAACTCGTGACCGACTGAAGTACAGCAAAAAAAAACATATATTGATTTTGGTGACGTCTGTCATTAAAAAATAAATAGAAGCACAATAACAATTTTATATTACATTTTTTCACGATCTATTCACATGCATATTCATTCAATGATAGAAGACGTTTGTCGGCACATTTTTCTTTTTCTTCATAATTATTATCAAGAGTAAAAAAACTTCAAGTACTAAGACAACATATTTTTTGTCTTAAAATGTCTGACAATGAATATAAATATTATTTTCTTCCATAAAATATCCATTATGTGCTACGAACAATGTTAACCAAGGCTGTTGTGTTTTTTTTTGTTCATTTGTTTAAAAAAAACTACTGTAATAGAAATGTACTTAAAAGACATTATTTCTATCTATCAAAGTCATGTCAAGCAAAACAAAAGGCTCAGAAAAGAGAAAGAAAAATACTAAATATAAAATGAACTGTCGAAATTGGTTGATTTTCATGCGGAACTTTTTAATAATAACATATGTCAGAAACAATATGTGTCTACACTTTAACATTAAACTGTATCTTTAACATTAATGACAGCTGTTGTTCTTCATCGTAATATGAGATATTTAACGGTTAACAGGTTCGAATAAAATATTCTAGACTGTATTTGTACTCGAATAACTGATAATAATGTCGTTTACTTAACTATTTGAATATATATGATCGATGTTCATCTTATTTGTCCTTCTTATATATTTAATCTTCGATCTTGTCGTGTACAATCAATATTTACAAATAATTGTCATTCGGAAAAAAGCATTGAACGCAACGACAAAAAGAATTTTTGTCTTTTCTTTTTTTATGTTCAAAAATGTCGAGGAAAAATATTTGTTTTATTTATTTTCTTTTTCTTTTTTTTTTTTTATATTAAAATAGAAAAATGAACGTACCTGATGATAATGTTGTTTCACTTTTAAGACCTGCTGTCGCAGATGAACTCGACGATGATGATGATGACGATGATGTGTCAGCTTGAACACATGGCGGACCTTGTATAATAGAACCAAGTGGTGGTTGAAGCCACTGATCAAAAGCAAGAACATCTTTAGTTTGTTGTTGTTGTTGAGTTGTTGGTTTTTTTATTTGATTATTAGTTGGTGATGTTATTTGTTGTTGATCAACTTTTCCATTATTTGTTGTTGTTGTTGATGATGATGGTGATAATAATTTATTTGATGTTGAATTTTCTGTATTTAATTTTGATAATCCATTACTAAGATGATGGCGAGGTGTTATTGTAGCTACAGTATTTGGTGGTGGATGATTAAAATAAAAAGCATGTTGAAGAAATTCTTTTGCACTTGGTTGTTGATTAAAATGATGATGACGTGCAAGAAGTTTAAGTAATTGTGGATCAAATGACGATATTGAAGATGCTACTGAACTCGGTGGAGTCGAAGTTGTGGTCGTCATTCGTATGCAAACACTGTGATTGAGATGGTCTACAATAAAAACGAGTACGAAGAAGGGAGAGAGAGAAAAAAAATCCGAAGAAATGAAGACTACTGAGCAAATATGTCTCTTTCGGAGCGACGACGACTGCCCCCTGAGTTGTATAAGAGAGAGAGATGGAGAGCGACGATTCGGGCAATACACGTAATCCTCTATTCTCTCATTCTTTCTTTTTTTCTTTTCTTTTTCTTCGTCGGTCGGTCGCTTTCGGATGGTTGAACTTATGTATATGCGTGTATGTTCAATAAGAGAGGCGACGACTGGCGAGGCGAAGAAAGGGCCGAATACAACACTAGTAACATTCGCCAACACAGAAAAATAGACGAGGAGGGAAAGAAGCAACGAGCGCGAGAGGTGAAGGTTGAACAAGCGAGAGCGGGCAAATAGCAGCGAATGAGAGGGTGGTCGTTTCATAACAACATATACATACGCATGCGCAAAAAAAAAATGGGACAAACAGAGATAGAAACATACTATGCCAAACTACGTAATTCTCTATACTGAGATATGCATAGGCAGTACAAATGTGCGTACACAGTCAATCAAGTATTGCTGTTGATCTTGTCATCAATGGAAAGAAAGGATAAAAAACAAAAAAACAGTATTGATACTATTTAAACAAATACCGAGACCTTAAAAAATACAGATAAGTAAAAAAAAATTCGCTATGATAACACAACTGTCTACTTTAGTCTATATATGTGTTTATGCGTTGACTAATGAATGACAAGACATCGATGTCTCGGCACAAGTCTGATGACGATGTTTTCTCCTTTTTTTTTTTACAAATAGAATTGAAAGAATGCACTTTGTTCTCTACCCTGTCACGTCAGACTAGAAGCGTAAGATGAAAAAAAAAACGGCGAGAACGGGGACGAGAAGGGGGAGAGATCGACGATTAGCTTGAAAAGCAGTAGACGGCGAGAAGGAGAAAAAAAGTATAACACAAAAAAATGCAAAACACCGACGCAAAGAAAAAAAAAGTGAGAGCTAAAGAAAAAATTAATGCGCTATTTGGATGTCACATTGGTTGCTTTCATAGTTGAATATGACGAGACATAGAGAAAAAACACCTATAATGAAAAAAAACAACCTGTATATATACACTTTTTGTTGCTACGTTAAAGAATTGATTCGTTCTACCAAGCGATCTAACAGAAGAAAAGAAAAAATGCAGTGAAGAATATAAAACGCACTTCAGTGTGTCTGTTTTTTTCACACGTGCTATAATGTCTATCGTCTAGCCGAAGAAAACGTCATTATTTAGACGTTCTTGTTTTTCTGTGGGGCTTTTATATATTATATTATCTTCTACGTATGCATGTCTTTTATAATCTTATCATATTATATAGAAAGAATATTATTTGATAGATGATCATATCATCGAATGACAAACGTTTATGATGACTCATCTTATTTCGTTGTTGTTTTTACTGTTACAAAAAAATAGGGAAAGCAAACATTTCTTATTGTATAATTAAAAACAAAATAAAGAAAATTTATTAATTTTTATTTTAAAATTCAGCGAACAGATACATTTTGTTATTGGCATTTTTTTTACTCATTTTCTATTGGTTCATTTGGAGGATCCAATGGAATAAAACTGTAACATATAATTTAGATACAACAGCCTTTAAGCTTATTTTCTTTTTTATTATGAGAAGTCAAATACACTTAACGTTTTTTTCCCCTTCTTTTTAGTTTTACGGGTGAACGAGTCAAATTTCATTTATAAGATGGAAAAAGAAACGGATCATGTAATAAGAAGAAAAAAAGAAATTCAATAATACAAATTAGCGGATGATGTCTATTCAACTTTGAATGACGTCAAGGCAAAAAAAAAAAGAAATATGTTATTAGAAGAAGAAAAAAATTTTATAGCCAAGTGAATCACCAAGGACAACATAATAGTATGTCAATATTTGCAACTTGCAAAGTCCAAAAAGAAAATTCAAATGCGTGATCGCCAAAAAGTCGAGAGAAAAACAACAAATGCCTTACCTTGCAACATGAAACTAGCGAGTGATTGTTTGTACTTATTTTGTTATGAAAGATGCACGAGACCATAGACGTCACAACTATTTTTTTTTTTTTTTTTTTTTTTATAAAATTTTTTATGCTTCTAGAAAAATTTACATTACCCAATAGAAATGATAATAATATTAATGTTGTTTCTTTTTTGCTTGTTCTTTAAAACTCATACTCGATGAATATTTATTATTTCTAAAAATACGCAAAAACAAATGAAAAGAAGAATATTGAAAATTATCATCTCAAGATTATAAAATTAATAAAATTTTTTTCTTATTTATTATTCTATAAAATAATTCAAGTATATTTTATTGTTGTCAGAAATAAATCTTCTTATAATACAAAAATCCATCAAATAAATTTAAATTATTAGTAAAAAAATATAAATTAAAAAAATAATGATGAATAGACATTCTAAGTAGAATAAATTAATAAGTTTTTCATTAAAAACTCATTATAAAAAAAATTCTTAACCAATTATAAAGGCATTCTTTTTTTTTAAATTGACCTACTTATATGTATTTCAATATTTGACCAACTATTAATAATGATAAGCATAAAAAATTTGATAAATAAGAAAAAATATATAAATTTATGAATTCATTTAGAACGATATTTACTGGTAAACAATAATCATTAGTTAAATTTATGAATCGCTGAATAATTTTCTGTTAGTTAAAAATATATGAAAATCTGATTATACTTTTAGATATAAAGTCAAACAACTGAATTTTTATCAAACATATGCTACCAAATATTAAATATAAAAAGGATAATATGCTCTTTGTCGAAAAACATGCCGTCGTAATTCAGTATTTTGCATTTCGACGATGTGACTATCAGCAATGCATGCTTTTACGACCTTCATTTCAATGATCAAAGCTAACAGCGATAGTCTGATGTGATACTGCTAGTATTATGTATATGATAGATATTTAGAAAGATTAAACGTAAAGAATGATCGATGAAATGAAACTCACAAATAAAGATAATCGAAAGATATTCGGTAATGAGGTATACAATCCATTAGCTATTGCATTTGCGTCAGAAAACTGATATGCCATATAGAATTCCATACTTAATACTCTCATGATTCAAAATCGTTATATAAATCAGAAGAAAAAAAAAACAAAGTAGTGCTTTGAATGATAAATTTTAAAAAACTTTATAAAACTAATGTATTAAGAATAAGAATTGTTTGATATAAAATTTAATTTTGAATAATGAATCTGACAAATATATTCCTTTGATTAGTTAAATAAATTGTAGAAATTTATTGATAAAAAAGGTATTATTCATGATAGTGTGACAGTCATCGCCTTGAAATTGATGTCAAAACAAGGTCTTTTTATTTATTCAGATAAATGCTGTGTGACACTGCTTTCTGATCAAATATTTTTCTTTTTTTGCTGATAATTAATATCACCTCTCAGACGAAGCAATTGAAAATACAAATAAATATAAGTAAACAAAATGGTCATGGTTAGTTAGCATGTAATTGATTTATGGATCAAGGGCAATAGACGTTGATGATTATTGAATAAGATAAAAATTTAAGTTCGTTTTAGCACTGCTACTATTCGTTACTTTAGTACATAAGAGAAAAACAAATTGTTTTTTTTTTTTAATTTTTCTTTAAGAATATTCGATAACATTATTTGAAATTTTTCTTTTCACAACATAAAGTATGTTGACATTTAAATATATATTCCATATATCGATAGTAATCAAGCACAAAATAGAATATATTTATGTCAACCTAAATTTACTACATGCCGTTTGTTATACTGTGGCAGGAAATTTTATCGTCTCTCAACTTAAATTACCGATGAACATGCAATAACTAGCCTTGTTTTCTTATATAAATGGAAAATAATGATACGATGTAAGTGGGTCATATATATATAAGTATTATTCCTAGTTAAATTAATGAACAAAAAAAACAAGCAGCATGAAGGAGAAGTATTTCGAAGTAATTATTTGTTAAAATTTTCTATATAAAAGAAGACTGTCAAATCCATTTTTTTTCTTATGAATAATAACGGGTCATTGGGAACTTTAGCAAAAAATGTTTTTTTTACTTTTAATTCAATAGAAAGTATTTTCGAGACGTGAGAACAAGAATTTTGTGCGCTTATAAATTTTGCTTCAATTTTTATTAGAGAACGGCGAAATAATCTTTGAAAAGTCAAAAACAAATTGTTTGGACGGAACTTATGATTTGATATTTCCGGTGAAAATGTTTATTCATTTTTGTTTGTTTGAAAGCATTTCAGACGAGCCAAAAACAATAAGTAGAGATCGGAATTTGAATGTGGGTGTATTATTGTTATGTCTAGTTTTGTTCAAGAGTAGTGAAGAGATTTATGAAAGATTTGAAAAATTATATTTAATAGATTTTTGTTTATTCTATAAGAAACTGTGCGAACATGCTAAAAATTGTTGAAGTTGGTCGTTTATAGAGCGAACATTTATCTACAAAATGGAATATTGAACGAATGAAGAAACTACTCAAAGTGTTATCTGCCATTTGAGCTCATATCAAGTGCATAAAGAAATCTCAGTAATACTAGAAATTATTTACCGAAAAATCAAATAATGGAAATTCATTCTGAAACTTTGTCCATATATAGGCCTGATGAATCTGGAAAAGTTCTGAAAGTTTCAGTCAAAAAAAAATCCTTTCTTTGTCGAGATATTGAATTTTCAAATAAACTCAAATTTTGTGACAAACGATCATTTTCTAAAAACTCAATGCCTCGACAAAGGAAGAATTTTTTCAACTGAAACTTTCACAATATTCCAAGAGTCATTAAACCTATTTATGGGCGAAATTTTATTGTTCGAGTTTTCCATAGTTACCTAAAGGTGAATCGAAAATGAATATTTATGAAAAACGAAAATTCATAGACAAAAAAAACTTGAAATAATACATTTTTTAGGTAGCTTCTAATCTATAAGGTGATACATGAATAATGATCCGAACTTTGAGTTTCGAATTAGAATAGTAAAAATACGAAAATTTTCCATCTAAATTAATTTTTTAGGCCTTTCAAAGATTATTTCACTATTTTCGAGTATAAATTGAGATCAAATTTCTAGTCCTAACTCATCAGAAATATTTTCTAGGGGGTCAACAATGAACAAACATTTTGTCTGAAAATTTGTCGTTAAATACCACATTTAGTTAAGACATAAATTTGTAAAATGAATTTTTAAAACATTTTATTGAATTGAGATGTAAAATAAGAGAAAAAGAAAAGAATATTTAAAAACAAACAACAAACTTTTTCTCTCGATATAATAGTAAAGGAAAAACGAAATGTTATTGATGATCATTTATATATTGGAATATCTATATTTTATCTTTGTGACGAAAATGTTTTGTTTGAGATTTATGTGTGAATGAAATTCGTTTTTTTCGATATATCAATGCATTTATATTCAAATTAGAATTACGTTTTATTGTATCTTTATGTTTTGATGTTGTTTGTTGAATTATTGAATTATTTGTATTAACAGTATACAATGCATAATCGTCATCATCAGACGATGTACTCCCTTTACATTGAGGAACATTTGGCATAAGAGATTTTGTTTTACTATGATTAGTAAAATTTGATTGTGTTAATGATGTTGTTGATTCATTCGATTTATCATCATTTGGATTTTTTGTTTTTTGACGATTAAATGATTCAATATTAGATTGTAATCGATTATCTAATGGAATAAAATTAAATTCTTTTTTGTCTATGATAATGAATATGATGCTTACCAAATTTATTTAGATCAATTTTATTGATCATTGAATATTCATCAGATTGTTGAAGAATGTTTTTACTTGATTTTTCATCTAGTTAAGGTAGAGAAAGAAGTTTTTGATTGACTATTAAAAATTACATTTATTTACTTGGAGGAATAAATCTGGAATTTTCTTCTTTTGTTATTGGTTGAGCTAAAGGTGAAGAACTTGATAAATTTGTTTCATTTGATTGAGATAATGAATCATATTTAGAATCAATGTTTAATGTTAATTGTTGTTTATCTTTATTTATATCTAAAAGTAAACAAGAATTTTTTGATTTATTGAAATGAGTATTTTATTTAAGGACACTCTTTCCCATTTTCTGAATGTTAAAATCAAACTTTTTTCGAGTTGTAACTTCGAAGTATCCTCTGTCTAGTGTTCTATGAATGAGAACTCTTCGTTATTATGTAATAAATATTTTTATTAAGGCTCCCCCCCCCTCAAAAATCTATCTCAGCCCATGAACATCCAAATTGCATGAAACTTTCAGGATACGTTGGAGCTGGAGAGGGGAGACTACCATAAAATTTTCGGCCCGAAATC